GGGAAGCCTGCTTCTCCCTCTCCCACTCCCCCTGCTTGTGTTCCCTCTCTCGCTGTGTGTCTCTCTGTCAAATAAATAAAATCTTTAAAAAAAAAATTTTATAGTAAGTTTTGACATCAGGAAGTCTGAGCCCTCCAAGTTTGTTTCCTTCAAGATTGTTTTGCCTTTTTGGGACCTCTTGTGAATCCTTATTACTTTGAGAAATGGTTTTTCTATTTTTGCAAAAAAAAAAAAAAGGCCATTGGAATTTTGATAAGAGTTGCATTGAATCTAGAGATTGCTTTGGGCAGTATGGCCATCTTAATATTGTCTCCCAATCCATGAACTTGGGATATTTTTCTATTTAGTTAGGTTTTCTTTAATTTCTTTTGGCAATGTTTTCTAATATTCCTCGCACAAGTCCTTCAGCTCCTTGGTTAAACTTATCCTTAAGCATTTTATTCCTCTGAATGCTATTGTAGATGAAATGATTGTTCTAGTTTTCCTTTCAGATTGCTACTTGCTGCTGGGCAGAAACACCACGCATTTGTGTACATTGATCTTGTACCCTGTAACCTACTCTGAACAGTGTTTATCGGTCCTAACCGCATTTTGTCGAATCTTTAGGGTTTTCTGCATATTAGATCATGTTATATACAAACAGAGTTAATATTACCTCTTCCTTTCCAGTGTGGATGCCATTTTTTTTCTTGTCCATTTGCTCTTACTGGAACTTTCAGTGCAACATTGAACAACCACGGTGAAGGCAGGCATCCTTGTCTTGTAGCCGATCTTCGGGGCGTGTTTCTCCCTCTGTCGGGTCCCAGCTCATAGGCCATCATCTCAGTGAGGCCTTCCCCGACCACCCTACCCAAAAAAAAGCAGTGCTCGCCTCGACGGGACCCCAGCCTGGAACTGCCTGGTCTTTTGCTCTGCTTTATTTTCCTCCACAATGCCTAATACCATGTGATATCTTTGCATGATTGTTTACTGTCTGTCTCCTTTCACTAAATTGTAAATTGTTCAGTGCTGCCCCCCTAGCCCCTAGAAAGGTGCCTGGCACTTACGAAGCACCCAGTAAATATCCAGTGTGATGAATGAACGAATGAATGAATGAACGAACGAACGAATGCAATTTTCATACATGGAATTAAATTGTTCATGCTCTTTTATAGACTTGCTTTTTCTCACATTATGTCTTGGGCATATCCTTTTTTGTAAGCAGACATCTCCATCATCCATTGTAATAACTGCGGGAACTCCTTCATATAGATGTCCCATAATTTCTTCAACAACCCCCTATTGGTGATCCATGCAGTGACCTTCCTTGTGTGCCTCTTTGCTCCCTTGTCCAGTCATGAGTCTGACACTTTAAAAATATAATGTCCCATGAGACGGGGATATATTTTTGCTCCCTATTCTTTTAATAATCTGAGTGTATTTTGTTTATTTTGTTTAGAGATGTTTCTAAATTTTTCTCTCATATCCGAACGCTTGGTTAGGGTATCCCAGAGCCTGACATTCAATTACATTTTTCTTTTGTAGCTCTTGCCTACTTCCAGGTTGTTTTCATTAATGACTAGGGTTTTCAATAGTGAGCAGTCTAGTTTGACCAAGCTTCAAAGTTCTTCTTTTCAAATGTGAGAGGTGTCTCTGTTGGAGATCTTTGATTCTTGTTCCTTGGGGAAGTTTGGCACTGGGTCCCCAGAGGGAGAAACCTGAAGCAAGTGAGTCTCAGCGCGGCCCTCCGGGTTCTGGAACAGTCCACCTGGGGCCATCACCAGAGACTGCCCCAGCACAGTGGCATGCCCTGTAACGGGCACTCGTGTTCTGCAGGAAAGGTCTGGGTCCCCAAGCAGAAGCCGATGGATCCTGTGCTGGAAAGTGTGACCCTGGAGCCAGAGCTGGAGGAGGCGTTGGTGAACGCCTCAGATGCGGAACTCTGTGACATCGCAGGTAAGAGGCTTTCCAGAAGCTTCCCCACGTCTTCCAGAAGGGTTTGACCTGCCTTTGCAGGGAGTCTTAGGTGGTTTATTGCAACATGAACACACTCTCTGTTTCTAAAAAGGACTAGAGGAGACCACGAGTATTAAGAAAGAAAGCAGTATCAAAAACCAAAGTGAGGAAATAGAAATAAAACCACCCAAACCTATCACTCCACAGAGCCATCTGTTGCCATGAGAGCCCATCCCAGACAGATGTGGAAGCATCCCAGGGAGGGCCGACATAGGTCCTCTACCAGCCACTGCATCAAATCCTGCCCAAGCCACCTGGGAAGCGAGAACAGAGGGGGACAGGCAGAGGGTGTGGACAGCTCAGGTTTGGGGGGCTCATGAAGGGCTGGAGCAAAGTCATCTCACTGTACAACCTTGCAAGGCTCAGAGATCCAGGCTTTGAGGAGCTCGCCCCCCATTGCATATTTGTACAACACTGTCCATCTCAAAATGTGTTTCCTTACAACCTTCACAGACAGCCCTTAGGCTCCAGAAGATGGCCTGATATTCAGAGCCCTTCGCCACCCTTGTCTCCTTATTACAGTCTAGTCCCTGCCCTGTGTGCCCTGAGTTCCGGCCCCACCGAGGGTTGGGCTCGGGCCGCAGCAAACACCCCACGTGCCCACCGCGGTGGTGCTCCCTGGCCTGGAGGGTTGGGGGTGCTCTTTTCATTCTGCAGACTTGGGAGCTACTAACCACCCAGCTCAGATAATGACAGGAGTGTGGATGGGGTGAGAAGAGACTCAGGGCAAGTGGGAACGGGAGAGAAAAGAATCAGCTGTGACACTGAGGTTGGGGGAGGAGTCAGGAGGGTTCCAGATTTCTGGCTCTGGGCACTAAGTGGATGGTGGTGCCGTTAATGAAGGTGGGTATATTAGTCTGCTCAGGCTGCCATACAAAATACCACAGGTTGGACCGCTTAAACAACAGAAACTTATTTTCTCACAGTTCTGAAGACTAGAAGTCCAAGATGGTGGCAAGTTTGTTTTTTTCTGAGCCCTCTCCCTGACTTGCAGATGACCTCAGCTCACTGTGTCCCTCTGTGCATGTGTCCCCTGGTGTGCCTTTGTGCATCCTAATATCTTCTTATAAAGATGCCCAGCAGATAGGATTAGGGCCCACCTTAACACCTTCTTAAAACTTACCTCTTTAAAGACCTTATCTCCAAATACAGTTGCAAATTTGAAAGCACTGGAGTTAGGACTTCAACATGTAAATTTTGGAGGGACATAATTCAGCCCATAACAGTGCGAAACGAGGAGTTTTAGGGGAAGGACTGAGTTATTTGTGGGATCTTTGGAGTTTGAGTTGCCTGTGGGCCACCCAGAAGGGGACAGCTGGACTTGGAAGTCTTCAGGAATGCAGAAAGATCTGTGGTGTCATTAGCACTGTTAAAGCTCCAGGCAAGTTGGGTGCCTGGGGCCCTGGAGGCAAGTGCCCCGGCCAGCCCTGAGATGAGGAGCCGAAATGGGACGAAGCTACTCACAGTGGGCGCCAGTGAGCCACACGTGGCCCGGGAACCAAAACCAAGTGAAGGCAGAACCTAAGGCGAGAGCTAGGAAGACAGAATGAGGGCTCAGGGCTGGCTGGGAGACCCAGGGCTATGTGAGGCCAGAGGCCAAGTGAGGCCGCAGGGCTAGGGGATCAGCCGCTGCAGCTGTCTTCTGCCTCTTCCCAGCCTCCGGCTTCTCGTGGGCGTCGTGCTGAGTCCTGGTGGCATTTGTGCTGGGGAGTGGGAAGTGGGTGGCTCTCATCTAGTGGAACCATCAGGGGAGGGACAGTGAGAAGACTCGTATGACATGGGGTGGGCCTGGCGGCCAAAGCCAGGCTGCAAGGAACCGAGGAGTGCGTGATGGGGAGAGCCAACGTGTAGATTCTGAGTCCAAAGAACCGTTTTCCTCACGCCGCCGAACATCCGGGAAAGGTCACGGGGCAGTGGTTTGCAGGGTGTCGGGGCTGAGAGAGAAAGGCTTTCGTTTTCGCCGCGGAGTACAGAAGCAGCAAATATTTCACCCAGATGGGAACGGAGCGCCTAACTGGGGGAACTTCGCTGGTTCGCTTTGCACTTCCACATTTGGTTTATTAAAAGCCGCGAAAATCATATTAGGGTCCTCACTATGCTCCTCTATTTCCAGCAAACCATCTCCGTGGCTGGGGGCCCCCTGACGTCCAGTCAAGCTGTGCAGCAGGGAGGTGGCTGGGTGACACCGTGGCCCAGCATGTCCACACTGACTCACCCTGGGGCTGTTTTTATCCCAGCCCTTCTCCTCTGTGGCCCTCCGTGATGTCACTGCCCTCATCAGGCAGCTCGGAGGGACTATCGAATGGCTCCACAGTCAGAACCGCTAGTGCCTGTGTCAAAATAGAACTGCAGCATCGCGCTACGTGTCTGTGTTGGTTTCTTGAAACGATTTCCCTTTATTTTTGTTGGCGTGGCTGATTACTATTTTCTGTTCATGATACCATACCCTTCCGTTGTCCGGAGAGGGGAAGGGGAGCTGTAAGTCGACACCAGCATCCACTGGCTGACCTTGGGCGCCGGCCACTGAGTATCAGGCCTTTGAAAGGCGGCGGGGGCTCTGGGGAAGGAGGGACGGCATACTTGTCGACCACCCCCTTATGGCCCAGGTGCTGTGGGGGTTGCTTCTAGTACCTTGCTGCATTTCTTGACCACAGAAATCCTAAGAAGTGTTACCGTTGTCCCTGTTTGATGGATGGAGGAAGGAGGCACGGTGACATTAAATGCCTAGCCCGTGGGACTTGAACCCAGGCAGCTTCCTCCGAGGGCACGCTCCTCCTCCTAGAGCACCAGCTCCCATGACCCAGATGAAGCCGTCCTCTGAGGGGCCACAGAGGGTGGGCAAGAGGAGGTTCACCGCCAAACCCCATGGAGCCGGCTGGGGGGAGCGTGGGGCCATGTTAGGAAAGTCTCTGTATGTCACAGGAGGCCATTGACCCCTTAAGGTCAGTGGGGCTGAGGGGAGCGTTGGGAGAGGCCAGATGAAAGCAAAGGTTTAGGCAGGGGTGGTGGTGCTCAGAGGATGGGGGGATGTAGGGGGCAGGCCCCAGGGAAGGTCAAGGGCTAAGGTGGGTTATTTGGGGACTGTATGAGGTGCAGCTGTTCCTAGCGCTGGACCTGAGGCCAAGAGGCCAAGTTGTCAGGAGGACGC